AGAGCTGACAATCAAGCTTCCATTTCAGCACAGCAAGGTCCTTCAGGTGAGAAAATAGAATGACTGGGGAGGGCAAGAAGGGGATACCTGAAAGCAGAAGGGTTAGTTAGAGAGTGATGCAGGGGGCAGGGACGTGCAAGGCCCCAGGTTCAATCCCTGATACTGCACGTGTATTCCCCCAGCCCCGAAACCTCTGGGCAAAATACCAACTAGACTGCCCAGACTGGGTGAGAAGGATTCCAAGGCTCAACTGACTGAGGCCCAAGCTGCCAGATGCATCTTTTTCCTGGTTTCTGAGCCACACCCGCTGATGCTCAGGGCTTAACCCTGACTTTGCGCTCAGGAATTACTCCTGGTGGTGCTCCGGGGACCACATGGGATGCCGGGGATTGGCGGTGTGGTTGGCTTCAGCCTTATTACCCCAGAAGGGTGGGAAACTCAGCTAAAATCAGGGCCTTCCAGTTACTAAAACGCTCTTGGAAAGTGTCCAAGGCAATGTTATACTAAATTTCCAACTTTGTTTCATCTAAGATCAAGAAAAACAACTTATCTTAAAGCACTGGATTATGTTTAAACAGACTACCTAAAAGTTTTAGTCAAATGATCACTTGAAAAAAATCTTTTACTCAGTACTTAAAGATGGACACTAATCCAGAGAGGGCCCTGGGGGCTGGAGGTGGGGGTCCAGGGGGGCTCCTGGAATCTAAGTCTCATGTTACTTAATATCATTTTGAGAAAAATTTTACTACCATTACCTTTCATTTGAGAGAAGGAGGCTGTGGCGGGAGTGTGTGTTTAGTCTCCTGTTACTTGCGGTTCCAGGCCTACTTTATGGGCTGCATGACTGAAACGGATACACTAATTTCATATGTAAACAAGCATAAAGGTCCCTTATATGTGAGAGGAGGTGTGAATACACAACTCTCTGGATGAGCTGTGCTTTGCATTCACTTAACATTTTTATAAATTAAATTTTACTGGATTGAGAACTGAAGGTCCATGGTTAGGAGAAAAATATCTAGGCAAATAGTAAAATGAGGCATATAATTAATTTCTGGAACCCCCTCGATAAATGAAGTAGGTTCACGTTCACGTTTACATCACTCTCTTTGGGGGGGGGGGGGGCTGTGGGGGACCACACCCAGAGATGCTCAGGGCAGACTCCTGTCTCTGTACTGGAGAATAACTCCAGGTGGGGCTCTGGGACCATGTGGGGTGCCGGGAATCAAACCCAAGTTGGCCACCTGCAAGGCAAGCTCCCTGCCTGCTATACTATCTCTCAAACACTACCAAATGTCTCATTTTTTTTTAAAGCTGAAGGCCTATTTTCACTTATGAAAAATGACAGCCTCAGATAATTTTCTAATTCCCAAGAGAAACAGTACAAGCTTAAAAATTGGCATAGGGAAATAATAAAAGGGCTGCAATGAAACGAACCGAAGAAAAGCAAATGTCATTTTATAGAAAACACAGAAGTTGCATGAAACAATACGGTGAAATTGGCTAAATATACAAAAGATCCAAAACTAATTAAGCATAAATATTCCCGAAGTGTTCAGTGTCTATTGAAATAAGCAATAACATCCCAATCGATACTTGCCATAAACATGACAAGCACTTGGCACAAATTATTCATATTTTGAGTATAAAGTTTATTAATAAAATATCCCTTTTTTTTTTCAAGTCTGGGGGGTGGGACTCAGGGCCTCACATATGCCCTGCAAGTGCCACACTCCGAGCTCCATCCTAAATCCAGGTATCACATTTCTTCACACGATGGGAGATCTGTTGTTACATTTTATACTTGACTAGGACTGAGCTATTGAGTTTCTATTGTGATGCTTCGACTTTGTGTTCACTTTGGCAACACATGTATTAGCAGGGCGCTGACAAAGGATTTGTGCTAAGACTGAAATGCTGCTAGGAAAGCCAGAACGCTCACTGGAGCCCCTCACATACCAAACTGACCCTAAGGGCTGCTTCGGGCACCTCTGGGCTCCAGTGCTCACCCTTTACAGTGCACTGACTAGCAACAGATTGGTTAAAAAATGGTTTGGACTTTCAACTTCCCATGGTGCAGACAAACATTTTTAGAAGCAATCATATTAAAATAAAACTGCCTTTCACAGTTACGGGATGAGATTTAAAGCTGGACAGGCACCAACGCCCTGATGTTCAGCCTTTTTCATAAACCATATGACTTCCACATGCTGAGAATGTTTTATGCTTTAACCTGCAGTAAAGGCTTTCCATCATTTTAATGCCCAGTGCTTAAAATGCAACAGAATCAACCCCAGTGAATGATGAATGCAAGGAATATGTTTGGTTTACTGTAATGATTTCAAGAAGACTTGTCAGGAAAAGTTTAATGAAAGCTTTTCCCAGTAACTTTGTATTTCCAGAGCATGGGGGGAAAAAAGCAAAAAAGAGTATCTGGTTTAAGAGAAAATAATTTTACCTCTTAACACTTCAAATTTTCACTTCTAAAATTATTGAACAGTTTATCATTATTGTGTATTTTAAATTCTCATATTCTAGAAATAAAACAACTATTATATAGTTAACAGGCTTTTTCTTGAGTGTTTGCAAAGCAGTGTTTCAGATTAAGATACTTGGTTAAAAATAAATTGTAGAAATTCTAATCCCCATAAAGTCTGAGTTTTGCAATAAAATCATACATTCTAAACTCAAGATTTAGAAAATAATACAATTATGTTTTTCTAGTTGGGTCAATCTAAATACATATAGAGATACCATCTCATGCTTTTTTTTTTAAAGCTTCTCTGCGCTAATGACCAGATGCAAAAAATTTCAAATCAAAAATTATAAAATATATCTTTAAAAACTATATATTGGCTCTATACGACTTTTACTTTTAATGGAACCTATGGCGCCTTACTGGTAGGTTGAAGAACTGATCCCTTTGGGGCCAAATACATTAAGATTTCGACAGTCATTACAGAATTTATGGCAATTCTAGTAGTTATTTAAAATTAAGCCCCATCACACTGAAAAAAAAATGTTGAATTTCAGGCTGAAGGAAGCAGAAAATATAGCATCTTACATCGTCCTGGCGTCACGTTATTAAATATTAAAGACTGTGAGAAACAAGAGATGCTGCGATCCTCTTCCCTCTATACCTCCTCAGTGAGGCTTGGGGGAGGGAAAAAAAGAAGAAAAAAAGAAAATCACAATTTCCAAAACTGACTCGTGAGCAGAATTCAGCGGGAGACCAACTCCGAGCCACACTGGGTCCCTCCAACCTGTGCCATGTTCAGATCCGGCTCAACGCCCAGCGGTGCCCGCCCGGCCTGCCGGTTCCCGGTTACCTGTGGCACAAAACGCCCCGAGGAAGCCCTGCGCGGGTCCCCACCCCCGGCTGGAAGGCGACGTGTGCGGCCCGCGAAGGGCACCAGCACGCCGGCCCCGGGACCCCCGGCAGAGGCGGTCCCAACCCGCAGGAAGGGCACAGCCCGGGCGCGGAAGGAAGGGGCCGGGCCGGCGGGCGCCGGGCGGGGGTCCCCCCGCACCCGCGCGCTCCCCGCGGACGCACCGCCCCGCCGCCCCACTCGGCACGCTGCGGGCGGCCCCTGCAAGCCTCGGGATGACCCTTGGCGGCGATCGCCGCCCGCCGCCCAACTTTGCGGGCGCCCCGCCGCCCCCCGCACCCGCCCCGCGCTCGGCCGCCGCGCCGCACGCCAGGGCGGGGTGCGCCGCGCGGACCCGCCGCCCCCCCAACTCCGCTCCAACGGGGCCCCCCATGCCCGCCGCCAACAAGCGGCAAGAAGTCTCCCCCAGGACACCCGCGCACACGCCCGCACCCCCACCCTGCGCCCCGTACGCCCCCAGTTTTGGGGGGCAGTGCGCAGGGGGCAGCGAAGGGCTCCCTTCCCGGGGGCCCCAACTGTGCGACCCCGGCGCGGGTCCGGCGGTCACGCTTCGGGGGCCACTTTTCCTCGCGCCCCGGGGACCCCCGCCGCGTCGCCGGGAGGGGGGGCGGGGAGCAGGCCCCCACCCCCCGGAGTCCCGCACCCCGAGCGCGGCGCCCGCGTCCCCGCCCAGGCCCAGCCCCGCCGCTCCAAGTTGGCGCGGGCAGCCGCGCACTGCCCGCCGCGCGCCCCCCGAACCCCCCGAGCCCACGTCACGCACTTCGGAGCCGGAGCCGCACACGCCCCGGAGATCGCCGCGCAGTTTTCCCCCGAACTCCAGACCCTCGGACCCCCCCGGCCCCAGAGCCCCGTGGCGGCGCGCGCGCCCCACCCCACGGCCCGCGTCCGGGTCACCCACTCGCCGCCCCCCGCCTTCCGCCCTCCGGCGCGGGCCGCTCCGGACACCGGCCCCCCGCCCGCCCGCCGCCCCCCGGCGCCCCCGGACCCCAGAAAAGTGGAGGGAAAGAAGTGACGGCCAGCCTCGGGGCGACCCGGCTCGCGACCCGCGCGACTCACCTCGCGATTCCCGGCCGAGTTGTCCGCGCCCGGCACAGCCCCCTCCCCAGCGTCCCGGCGCCGACGGCAGAGCGGGGAGGAGGGGAAGCGGGCGGGGGAGGGGCGGGTTCCGCGCGGGGCGCCCGTCGGGAGGGGACTGGGGAGGGGTGGAGGCCGGCGCAGGAAGAGGAGAAGGGGGAGGGGAGGCCCCTATCTCCCAGTCTCCCCCTGAAAACCTCCCTTGTCTCAATCACATCAGACTGACTGTCTTTGTCTGGCTGACACCCGCCATATTGATATCAACAGCCCCGCTCCCACCTGCTGCAGCGGCGCGGCCCTGGGAGTTGTAGTTTCTGCCTCCCTGGAGTAAAAGCCCCGGGCTCGGCGTCCGGAGGCCTCGGCGGACTACAACTCCCGGCAAGCTCCGCGCCCTGCCGCCCTCCCTCAGGGAGGCGGGGCTCGGGCCTCCCGAGCCGCGCGGACTACATGTCCCAGAGTTCCACGGGGGCCCAGCCCAGGGTGGGGGGACATGATATCATGCTGGGGCGATTGGTGGGGGGGAAGAACTGGCGGCGGGGACGAACCTGAGCTAACGGAAGGAGGCGTTGAGGGAGGAAAGGGGCGAGAGGAAGAAGGACTACAACTCCCAGAATGCCGGGGGGCTGACTACAGTGACCGTGATGCCCCGGGAAGGGGGACCTGGGTGAGGACTTCATGTCCCACCGTGCTCTCGGGGGGCGGCCGGCGGAGATTGAACCGGAAGACGCTCCCTGGGCGTGTGGAGTCCACTGACTGCTAGTGAGCCACCAAAAGTCCAATATGAAACTGGTGAGTCTGCGCTCCTAGGTCAGAGGGCAAAGGTGCTGCCTGATCCTTTCGGACGGAGTCGCTCCCCCCTCGGGAAGGGAAGAGTCGCGGCGGAGGGGCGGCAGGTGGGCGCTGCAGAGTGGACTGCACTCCGACAAGCTGCTGTTGTTGGTTCAGGACACGGGGGTCCATCTCCACGACCCCCGCCCCGCCCACCAGGACATCTTATGCGTCTTGGTGGCGGGTCCCCGTGGTAGGGAAGAGATAGACACCGTCACATGTGTGTGTCCCCGCTTCCTTTCCCAGGGTAGGTTCAGGACCCAGGTTTGATCTGTCCTCGCAGCCACGTGTGTGATCCAGGGGCTTGACCTCTGCACTTGGTTGACGTTTCTCTCGAGCTGGCGAGAAGGCTTGGTTGGCGCGGAGCAGGGGAGCACACAATAATGGACTGGAAGTAATGGTCGGATGCATTTGCTCTTAGAGAACCCTAAGTACCCTTGGGACTCGGGAAGGAAGCGGACAGGGCGTGCGCTCAGAGGAGTAATTACGGTCTTGGATCCTGTATGGAATTGGGATGGACGGAACGTGTTCAAGGCGTTGCGATCAGGGTCGTTGGCGGCCGCAGGAGCCCTGGCAGATGGAGCCCGAGAGCCTGGCTCGAGAAGTCTCTGCAGCACGGGACTTAAACCCTAGGCTAGCACAAGAACTTCTCAGAGCTGTCTTTTAAGAGGCTTGTTTGTTCTCACTGTGCAGGGAGATCTAACTAGATCACCCCTGTTCTTCTGGGATTGGCCTCATTAGCAGTGTGGGGAAGAAGATGTAACAAGCTACTTCTCCTGCTCTTAAAAATCCATCTTCCTTGGACTAGGGCTAGAGTACAGCAGCTAAGGGGCTTGCCTTGAAAACAGCAGGCCGGGGTTGAGTCCCTGGCCCTCCATATGATCCCCCAAGCCTTGAGCGCAGAATCAGGAGTAAGTCTCAAGCACTGCTGAGTATGACCCCAAACAAAATAAATAAAATCCATATTCCTGCATTGTCAGACTTCACTTCCTGTCATTTGTATGCAGCAAACAAAAGGTTCATTTTCCTTTTATGTAATTATTTGGACATGTGTTGCCAAAGGACCAGCCTTGCCCACTGATGCTGCCCTTAGATGCTGCATAGTCGCCGTCATTTTCTGACAAATCCAAGTATTGAAAAGAGGCAGCTCCAAAATTCTCCACTTATGGCTGTTCATGAGGGGAGGGCACAGGTGGGTTAACCTTGAGAATATCAATTTGCTTGTGTTTCCATGTGCTAAACAGAGAACAGGGAGGCAAAAGTCACAACTGCAAACTAAGGAAGGCAGAAAAGTAAGCCAGTGGGATGGAGAGATAGGACAGTGGGGACGGTGTTTGCCTTGTACACTCCAACTTGGGTCCATTCTCCAGCATCCCATCTGGTTCTGAGCACAGAGCCAGGAGTAGCCCCCAAGCATCGCCAGGTGTGGCCCAAAACCAGACAACAGGACAGTAAGCCAGATCTGTAGTGGATAATATTGATGATAAAAATGGAGTCCTGTTCACAGTTGTCCGGGGATCAGAGACGGCTAACTCCATGGAAAGGTTTTTCTTGAACTGGTAGAAAGGTTGCTCGGGCCTCCCAGAGAGCATTCGCCTTGAGGACAGTTCATGGTTCCCATGCAGATCTGGTGTCTTGAGTGACAGACGACTGCTCTCTGCTGTGCTGAGTCTGAATGTAGGCAGGAATGAGGCAAGCGTCTCCACCGCACCTTGTTTGCTTGGGGAGCCGGAGTTTGTGCTACATATATCTTGATTGGCTCCTGAAATCCTCCTGCTCCTGCATGTCGAGGTGTCGGAACACGGATGCAGAGGCTGGCGGGACCTCATTACACCAAGCTCATCCGATTCCTGCTTGGGCACAGCCCGGGGTGCATCCTGGCATCACACGGTCCCCTCAGCACTGCTGCTGGGAAAAGCCTCCACACACACCCCACCACCCCCCAACATGACCTGGCGTGACATCAAACAGTAACTATCAAAAATGGGAGAAAAACTTTTCTTTGCGAAGCCAAGGAGGTCTGAGGCTGAGACTTGAGCCCCACATGTTCCCGAGCGATGCCCGCTTGGCGGCTGGAAGATGGGAATTTGGCCTTGGTGCAGTCGCACAGCCGAGGGGCTTCACAAACACCCCTCTAAGTCAGGCTCGTTTGTGCCTCTCGTGTCCCCCGTTGACCTGGAATAATTCCTCCCGTGGCTTCAAGTTTCTAGTTTAGTCTGCTACTGTGTCCTGAATGTGTTCCAAGTGCACAGAGCAAGACAGACGACTGTATGGCACACACGTGTAGTTCTGAGATCAGGACGCCTCTTGCCAGGGAGAGGGTTCAAGGGCTGGAGCATGTCCTTGGCATGAAGGCACCCTGGGTTTTAACCCTGGCACCGCAGGGTCCCTTGAGCACTTCTAGGCGTGACCTGGAACTCTATCCTCACCCCCTCCCCATTCATTTTTAAGCCACACGAGACTGGTGACTGCAGCATGGGCTGGGGCTCACGGCTCACTTTGCACACGGAAGGGCCAGGTTCCTTTGACCCCCGTATCTGCTGGGTGTGGCCCCCAAACCAAAAAATAATGATGATGCTGAGAAAGCCTGGTTCCCCACACACATTCCACACCCACTGGCCCCCTCTGTGGTCACAGGCTTCCTGCGCTCACTCCCGTCCAGCCTCCACTCTGCATGTGAAATTGCCACCTTCTGGTTTCAGGGCCACACCCTGCCATTTGCGGGGGCTCCTGGCTCTGTGCTTGGGGCTCACCCCTGGTGGTTCTCGGGGGACTGTTTGGTGCCAGGGACCCAGCCCAGGCCTCCTACATGCAAAGCAGGAGGGCATTCCTCCCATTGAGCAGTTTTAGCCCCAGAATCACATTTTGACAGAACAGGAAAATTAGGAAGGTGCCCCCTAAGTTAGCACATTGTAAAAAGTTAGCACACTTTTTCGTTTGGTTGGATTTATTTGGGGGTTCGGAGGTAGTGGATGGGAAGGGGGAGCCACACTCTCTGTGCTCAGGGCTTATTCCTGGCTCTGCACTCAGGCTTTGGGAGACCATGTGGGATGCCAGGAATAGAACTCGGGTCAGTTGTGTGCAAGGGAAGCCCCTGCCTCGAGGATGTTCTGGTCTCTGTGGAGGGAGACCGAACCTTGTCAGGTACGCCCGTGGGGTCATTTCAGCCCAGGGTAGAAACTAGATTCACTGGTGCCCGTAGCAAAAGAGCGGAGAGCAGGGACGAAACTGCATTGACGAAAATTGAACCGGAATCATCATGGCCAGGAATCCAGCTACTCAAGTAGAAGATTGAAGTGAATAAAATCGTCGGCATATGTCATACTTCCAATTGTTCCAGAGACGGAGAGAATCTCGTTGATTCAATCAACAGCATTTATTATGCGTCCACCATATACCCTTGGCATTCAGAGTTCTAATACTTTCCATTTTAACTCTTACTTTTGACCCCAAAGATCGATGACAAGGAATCATTTGTAATTTTGCTGAGGCTCAGGTTTGAATGTGACTGTAAGATTAATGGTAATCCCTTGCGGGTGGGCTTGATTGCCTCCGAATCCGCCTCTGCGCTTATTGCCGAGCTCCTGTGCAAGGGCTGAGGGAAAGGTCGTTTAAATGCTCGTTGGCTCGACTTTTTGAATCTGATGAAAGAAATTCTAGGCTCTGTGGTATTTACCAATGTGAAAATTCAGGCTCGGCGGCTGGGGAGGGGCCGCAGCATTCTGCGGTCTGTGAGTCTCTGTGCAAAAGACTGTTTCCTGACGAACCGCTTTGGGAGGAAGATTCGAACTTAACTCCTCGGTCCTCCTGGGGAAACAGATGGAGCAAAGACAGGGCTTCAAGGACAGGGTCCCGCAGGGGAAAGTCCAGCCCCACCACGTGGAATATAGAGGAGGAGGCAGACCTTGCTCCAGAGGGGGGATTGGGGCCCCAAAGCCAAGGCAACTTGTTTTAAGAGTGTCATTAATCCTCACCTTGGGTCTAAGAGCGGTGGGTTTCTTCCTACGATTGATGGGGTTTAGACTCCTTCCGACGCCTTCGGATTTGGAGCAAGAACATCTCTTGCTCTAAATTACCGACAGGCGCGACTTTATTGTTGTCTAATTCCCCTCTTGCGCGCGGTTGTTAAACTGTCTGGCTGGCTAGAGGCTGGCGTTTCTCTCCGACGGTTGGTTAGACTGCCCTCGTGTGTCTTGATGATGGAATACCAGCCCCGGCTTTCCAAAGGTCATCTTTTATCACCACTGCAGCAGCAGAAGCAGCACCAGCAGCAGCGTTTGGGTGCCCTCCCCCGCAGCCCCCAAAGGATTTTTCTCTAACTCAGAACGACTTTGCTCAAACTCAGTGGTGCTGTGTGCTAAAAATGGATATTTCACTCTTGGGCATTTCAGAGTCCTAAATTGTGACTCTGAAGTTAAAGCTTTTATACTTAGCACAGCCAAAGAAAGGAGTTACAGTCAAAGGTATGGGGTAGTAACAGTTGAACTGAAAGCCTCTCTCTGACCTGTCTGTGATTGATCACCAAAGGCAGCCAACGTCCTGCCCATCATGCCTGCCGGCCAGCTGGGCACAGCTCAGAACCAGAGTGGCGCATTGGCTGAGACCGGCCTGGGCATCGGCCTCTGAGAGCTAAGGAATGAGGGCAGAGACTCCAACAGGGTCCAGGAGCCCAGTCAAACCCAGTGTTCTGAATGGGGGACATGTCCCTGGCTTGCTCAATGCCAGCAGAGGCCCGGGCATAGGCTGACCTCCGATTTCCATTATCCCTTACTCATTCAACAAAATTTCCTGACACTTGCTTCAAGCCAGGCACTGCACAGGGTTGTGGCTGGTTGTGGGGAACAGAATAGCTCCTTCTCACCCGCCTTCCCTCCCCTGAGAGTCTGGACGACTTGACTGTACAAGTCAGAAAAGTGCCAGTGGACACTGTACCAAATGCCCACCCCACCCCACAGGGGTTG